ACTGCTTCTCAACACTCCGACAAGTATAAGAGTATAAACTGTTTCTCAACACTCAGACAAGTATAAGAGTATAACATGCTCCTTCCGATACTCCAAAGAGTATACGAGTATAAACTACTTCTCACTACTCCAACAGGTATATGAGTCTAAACTGTTTCCTTTCTTTCACGGGAAGTTCCTAGAGAATCTTTTATTCTTAAGGATAAACCGAACATACGACTGAGGACAACGTACTCCTCATTAGACCCAGTTTTGCAAAGAAAGCTGGGGGTGGATGATTCATGTAACGGGAAGTTCCCAAAAAAATGTTAAATGTAATATTCTTAGGGATAACCCGATCATTACGAACAAAATGATAAATACTAAACTCCCACTGTGATTTCTGAACACTCTTTTGTTGACGACTCACAGCCTCCCATCACAAAATCCCCCACCGATCAGACTAATTGACGGTGGGATCACCAAAATTCCTTTCGGTTAAATATACTCAAACTTTTAATGTATCTGCGCACTCAACATCCTCATTGTTAGAGTCCGGACATGGTACTCAGAATTTTAATCTTTGACAAATTGTCAAACCTCTTCGTGTTAAGTTCTTATCGCTTGACACAAAGAATCCCCATTGAGTAATCGGTACAAGTCAACACTCCCACTATGATTTGTACTCCCACTCCCACTGTCTACCTGGTCAAACCTTCTTACAGTTAGGTCCATAACCAAAATCTCCTTTCTATTTCTTCAATGAACGAGAGGTCCAGAAATTAAGCGATCAAACCTTCCTACAGTTAGGATCGTCTCAAAACTCCCACTCGATCAAACCTTCCTACAGTTAGGACCACAACCAAAATCCCTTCTTGATTCCTTCAATAAACGAGAAGTCCATTTTCAAATTAAGTGATCAAACCTATAAAAGTTAGGGTCGCCTCAGTTCCCCCCTCTCGGTCAAAACCGTAAAACGATTATGGCCAAACCCGGGATTCCTTTTCGATAAACGAAAAGCTCTCATCCTCTTTCCCCTTCGGTCAAACCTATAAAAGTTAGGACTGAAGTCGGAATTTCATTTTTAGATCAGGTAACCAATACTATAAAAGTTAGGGTTATCTGAATCTATTCGATTCTCGGAGTGGAGATCCCACTCTTAGTTTCACCTTGTTCGGATTCTCGAAGTGGAGATCCCACTTGGAGTTTCCTTCGTAACTGGAAATAGAATATAAAAATTCTTCCTTTCCAGTATCAGGTTCATCTTTATCCCAAGAGAAGACACCACCTTTTCAACTCTCATAATCCGTGTTTCACACGCACGGAGAATTTTATCCCGAATCCTAAGTAAGGATAAGCCAACGCCTAACATGTGTTGCAGGTTTAGTCTTTCACCGAGTGAAAAAGACACCAGAATCTAAGTCCGAGGAAGGTTATCTTGAAGCCTAAGTAGGGATAAGTCAGCGTCTAACACGCGTTGCCGGTTAGTCTTTTGTCGTAAAAAGGATAAAAACCCACATATTTGATATTGTGGCAGGTTGTTATTCATAACGCCAAAATCCGCGCCTTACACACGCAGGGAATTTTATCCCGAATCCTAAGAAGGGATAAGTAAACGTCTAACATGCGTTGCCAGTTTAGTCTTTCACCGATTGAAGATGACACCAGAATCCAAGTCTGGTGACTTTTATCCTGAAGCCTAAGTAGGGATAAGTCAATGCCTAACACGCATTACCGGGTAGTCTATTCCCATAAGAAAGATGAAGTCTACGTATTCAATATCGTAGCACTAAGAGAGTTAACTCTCTTAGCACAACGTCACATGCGAAACGAACTTAAACAATCTGCATGCTAGCCCGATTCAAACGATAATCAGTAAAGGCATGTCAAATCCATTGAAGACCGAGGATTTATCAAAAATCCTAAGTCAGCATCTAACACATGTTGCCGGGTAGTCTATTTCCGTGAGAAAGACGAAGTCTACATATTCAATATCGTAGCACTAAAAGAGTTAACTCTTTTCGCACAACGTTACGTGCAGAACGGGTTTAATCAATCTGCATGCTAGCCTAACTTAAACGGTAGTCGGTAAAGGCTATTCAAACCCGTTGATGGCTGAGAATTTACTAAAACTTCTGTAAATGCGAGCCATTAACGCATCAGCTCCATTAGTTGGTCTCGTGACTTGAGCATCCAACAACTTCAGAATAATATCCATACATACAGACGAATCAGCTTTAACAAGTTGGTCCTGCAGCCCCAGCATTTGGGACCGTCACGCTCCAACACCTTAAGAGCTTAAACTGTGTAAACCCAAGGTCAACGCATGTCGATGCAAAACCCAAGGTCAACGCGTTGCAATGAAAGTCAACGCATGTCGATGCAAAACCCAAGGTCAACGCGTTACAATAAAACTCAACACAGGACATCGCGTTATAGTAAAGGTCGATGCCGGTCAACACATCGATAATTTCGCCAAAATAAGGCAAAGGATTATTTCAGGGAGTTCAATCGAATTCAGACATGAATTTCAGACGAAGATGATTAGTTCAAAGTCAACTCAATGACACGAGCTAGATTCAGAAACTTACGCATCAACTTCAGTTTAAGATTTCGACAACGGTCAGACGATAAACGCATCGCCGGAAGAACTTCATCTATTCGATAAAAGACTGAATAGACTGAAGGTTGAAGAAGTCAAGAATTAAAGTAGTTCACAGGCCCCTCTACGAGATTGAGGAAAGGGCCTATCTTATCCAAAGCATTCCAGACTCCTCTATAAAAGAACAAGTCTGAAATTCTTTGGAGGGGGTATCTGTAGGAGTCAAAAATTGCCTATAGGTCCCCGAATACAGCTCGAGACAAAGAGAAGGTGATGAACGTCATTATCCAAGTCGAAGAGGATTATCCGAGTCAAAAAGGATTATCCGACACCGACAAGCGCATGAAGCGAATCGGCGAACCATCGATGACGCGACAACGAATCACCACAACGACAAACGCTAAGTGGCCCACACGCTCGTCAACCATCAGAATGGCAAACCAAGCGTCCCGTGCGCTCAAACCACCCTCATGTGGCCCGCACGCTCGTCAGTCAACACGCGCACGTCAGCCAACGCGCACACATCAGTCAACACGCGCACGTCAGTCAAGCGATCCGCGCGAGGAAGCGTACAAGTTAACAAAACGACGAAATACTCATAAACGACGCGTGCAAGTCAACAAGACGACCAAATACGCAAAACGGTGGAAAATACAAGTCCCGGAAAAGTCGGAAAAACACCAAAAAGTTCAGCAAAAAGCCAAACCCCCGCGCCTGCACGAGTCGAACCGCGCTGACCCGCGGCCGCGCCGTGCCCGTGCGGGTCGGACCGCGCCGACCCGCACCCCCCGCGGGTCAGCAGCGTTCGTCGCGTTGTTTCGACCCCCTGACGCGTTTTGACGGTTTTCAAAGCGGTTTTCGCAGGATTTATCGGTTTTAGGGGTTCCTAACTGACTTGATATTATCCACAAACGTGATTAGGCTGTTGTTAACTGAAGATAAGGCTAAATCACTCATTCTCATCTAAATAACCGCACCCGAGGCCTATAAATATCAGCCCAAGGCCTCCATTTTGCAGGGCGGAATTATTATCAAGAGGGAGACGTGCTGCCGAATTGAGGAGTCAAATGAGCACGAATTTCAGCAAGGGTTGACAGATCTTGGCGAGTTCTTCAGCATAAAGAAGGAGAGTTGGAGAGATTCGAAGCCCGCTTCCCCCATTTTCTTGAGATCAGGCTTGGTCTTGATCTCGAGAAGAGTGCTGATTTCGTTTGGTCGATCTCAGCGCTTCAAATCAAATACTTCCTCGGCGAAGGCGAAGCTCTGCCGAATTTTTCATCAACCGGATCCAGATCAAAGGTGGTCCACGGTATTGACATCCCCGGCACAGGCGAAGATCCCACGCAAAACAATAGGCGATAAACACTTGTTGCGTGTTGTTTGAACGAGAATTGTAACTTTTATTTTCATTGTGTAAAGGTCTTATAAAAAGACCGATCTTTTTGAACTTGTTGTAACGATCGGAGTTGTAATGAGTTATACAATAAAGAATACAATTTTCTACCCAAACAAAGCACATTACTAACAAGACATCCATTAGCCATGACGTGTAACTTGCATCCTACTTGCAGTAATCTTGGAGACAAACGTTGTAAGAAAATTAGTTGACGCGAGATGTAAGTCTAAAGTCATTTACCGAGGCGGTGGTTATTTACCTCTCAGGAATCAAGGTGATAGTTGTAAAATTCCACCGCCCCAGGATCCCCATCACAGAAACCCTCTTCGATAGTACTCCATGCAGGCTTTAAAAACCTAGCAGAAAACCCGCCAGGGCCTCGGCGCCCTGAAATGAAATCAGGCGCTGAGAACATAAAGATTTTAGGGGCCAATTCAAAATATGAAGATGTGGGGGGCTAGTTTGAAAATACGAAGGGGGGGGCCAGTAAGCAGTAAGCTAATACACGAAAACGCCCTCGGACTGAGACCGCTCCGAAGTTGTCTGACCTTTAAGGCCGCGCACGACAACACCAGCTCAGCAGCGGTTTATGCGCTTCCCGCCCTCCCTACCCTTTCGCCCAGACCCTGCCTCAATTTTTTGGCGGGAAAAAAGGGCGGGCCAAAAAAAAAGAAAAAAATGTCTCAGCCCTCGCGACATCCGCCGACGCCCGCCGAATCGGCGGCGCAATGGCGGCTGAGGAGTTACGAGTGTGGAAGAAGAACACCCCTTACCTCTACGACTTATCGTCCTCAGCACGCGCCTCGCAAGGGCCCTCCCTCACCGTCGACTGGGTCCCCGCCCTCCTCCACCACGTCGGCGCGCACGCTAGCCGGCCGCGCAACCCCACGCGCCTCCTTCCCTGGGGCCCAGCACTCCCGACTCCTCCCCCAACTTCGCTCATGCTTGGCCGGCGTCTGCCTTCCCCTCCCGCTCCCTCCGACTCCATCCTCCCCTCCCCGGCCGCTCGGCCCAGCAGCGTAAACCATCGACCGCAGGGCCCCGCATACCGGCGAGGTCAACCGGGCCCGCCACATGCCGCAGAAGCCCAACTTGGTCGCGACGAAGACCTGGCGGTCGCGGAGGTGCACGTGTTTGATCTGGGGAAGGAGGAGAAGGGGATCGGTGGGCCGGAGGCGGTGCTGAGAGGGCACGAGATGGAGGGGTACGGGGTTGATTGGAGCACGGTGAAGGAGGGGTGGCTGATAAGTGGGGGTTATGATTCGAAGATTTGCTTTTGGGATGTTGGGGGTTGTGGAGGAGGGAGGGTTCTGGATGCTCGCCAGGTGTTCGAGGTAATGCCTGTGTCAAATTCTATCTCATGTTACCCTCGTTGTATTCAGGGGGTAAAAAAAATGAAGTTTAGGTAATATTTCAAGAGAAAGCTGCCATTTTTCGTTGTTTAACAATTTTATCAAGATACGGGGCTCCTACATGACTCTTTCTGTGCTTCGATGGGTAATTTTTGGAAATACTTGTTGCTAATTTGATTGTTATGAACTGATTTCCCTATACTTTCTTTCTTTAATGAATATAGTTACATTTTGCTCACGTGTTATACCCTAAGCTTCATCCTATTATTTTATTAGCGCTCTTCACACCAATAAATCCATTAAGTTGCTTCAAGTTCGACCTCCAAATTTGTAAAAAATTATAATAACAAGCCTGCTTAGAGCATATACTAAGATTTGGGGGGGTTGTAACTGAAAACTGTGGAAACTTTTGGTGCTAATTAAGCAAATAGAATAAAATTTAGGGTCTAATATGAGGAAACCCTTGTTTTCAATGGATATAGAATGCATTTCATATTGATGTGGAGCAATATGTGCTTACCTTTGGAGTGGAAAAGCTAAAACGCTGCCCCCCACCCCATATCTAGGTTGGGTCTCTCTTGCAATTAACAACCGAATATTCGTTACATTGCATGAACTCTTTTGTGTTGTAGGCTCACACGGCTGCAGTCGAGGATGTTGCATGGCACTTGGAAAATGAGAAAATTTTTGCTTCTGTTGGAGATGATCATATGTTGATGATATGGGACTTGCGCACATCAAAGCCACAACATTCAATTCAAGCACATGAAGACGAGGTAAAGTGCATATTTCTGCTAAGTCCGTTTTGTGTATGTTTGTCTCAATGAAATAAATGTCACATTAGTTCATTCCTACTTTTTCCATTACTGTATTTCTTTTAATTATGCTCTTATACACATCATATTTTTTGTGAACTTGTTAAAATCTGAATGTGGTCTTGATAATACTGGTAGTTCCCGTACTATCGATGTGATAAACATCCTTAATTGCCTTTCACAAAATTTATAGTGGATTCAGATCTAATGAAACAAAAATATTTTTCTGCAGCTCTATTTTTATCATTGTCATCTTATCTTCTTTAAGCACTTTGTCCTTTGTTGTTTCTGGACAAGAACATTTTCCATCCATTTTTAGGATCGCATGTTTCAATTATTCTGCTCATTACATTCCAGTCTCCAGTATATTGGAAAAATAGTGATATTTGAGTGACCTGTTGTGCAGTGAGTAAACATTACACCTAAAATCAAGGAAAAACTCATGAAAGCAAAGTGTTTAGTTGACTATGCTTGTGAACACGAAACAATAGTATTTATTTTTTGCAATCACATGAAATTAGTTATTCATTATCAATAAATCCGTTAACAGATATGAACAAGAATATAACTATTTACTTGTTTAGCTTATGAACCTTAACAATATTCAAGCTCGATATTATATTAAAGTTTGTTGCATATTTTTGTATGTTTAATTAGCATTCATTCATACGCTAAATAGAATATTAACCACAATATCTTGTTCCTATGAATTGATCTATTTATGTATATATAATTCCATATTTAAGAAGGTCCATCCTTTGCGAACAAAACAAAACTTTGATGAGGTTAAAAGATTTATTGTCTTGATTCAGAGAGAGATATCTGAGAGGGAGGGAGACTTGTGTGTTAATTGGTTTGTGGAGAGGGAGAGTGAGTGTGGGATGTCAGATTGGTAGAAGGGTAGATGGTAAGCCATAAGGAGGAAGTGTAAGTGTGGAATGAAGTGTAGGAGAAAGAGAGTGATTATAGCATATAAGAGGCATGGGAAATGCTAGGAGGCAATAATTTAGAAATGTTGAGTGTGGGTGTGAAAGGAATTGACATGTGGATAGGCTTCACTGGGCAATTGGCTTAATTAAACTAGTTAGCAAATAATCCACTTTGTTAAGAATTAATCTTATACTTTAAGAAAGAAAGTGGGGACTAGATCTACATACGGAAAATTTTAGTTGTTTAGTTCATGATTTTGATTTAATTTTCAGAAAAATCTCCCAGGAGACTCCTTGAGGTTGAGGATGCTGCCATTCTCATCTCCATGATAATTGCAATTAAAATTTTGGCCCATTACAATAACACCCTCTCCTTTTCAATTAGTAGTTGAACTTAGTGATTATATCAACATGTGTATAGGATTGACTTATCATTCCTTCGGACGTGAAAGGTTTTTGGTAGGATGATTTTATCATTCTTCAGCCTGACAGATTTTATGTTTATATTGATGAGAAGACAAACACAAACTTTTTATGGGCTATACTTGCAACACAAACTTATTTTTTCAATCCGAGCAACGATACTATCAAATAGGGAGTATTGTCATTGAAAAGAAACGTTAACCCAAATTGAGCATATGATAAAATCATGGAGGGATTCATTGGTAAAGTAAGCTTTGAGGTATTGGAGTTCTCATGTTCAAGATTAGGCTATGACCTTTGTAAAAAAGGAGTCATCTTCTCACCATTTGACTAGATAAATAAAGTTGAGATGTATTAAAATTGAATGTAGAAGAATAAAGTAATGGGCTTGAAAACCAGCAGATTTCTTAAGTACTATGATAACTATTCTTAGTCAATCCCCTCCGTAAAAGTTATAATGGAGTTTAGGTTTAGTGTGGAAACAATATTACCATGCTGTTCTTAAGTGATATGATGTATGCTCTGCTAATTTATTCACTTGAATTACCCTTCATATCAGTTTCAGATTGGGTCTGTACAACTTGTTTCTCTTACACTATTAATATAATGCCTTACAACTGAATCTTTCTTTCCAGGTCAACAGTCTGTCCTTTAATCATTTCAATGACTGTATTTTGGCAACGGGATCTGCAGACTCAACAGTTAACTTGTTTGACTTGCGAAAGCTGACAACAAGTTTGCATACATTTTCTAGCCACAGGTATGTATTTCTTTATATCCTACTCTGTACAAATTAATTGATATCACAATTATCTTTATTTTCTCTAGAAGCATGGATACATTTTGTTTCATTATAGCCAAAACATGGTTTTTTAGGTCCATCATTTCTCCGACTTGTTTTTTCCATTTCATTTGATTAAGATTTAGAGCCCACTTTTTTTTAATATTGCTTTTTTAAGATTGGGTCTGAAGAGGAGTACTTTCTTAAGTAATTACAAGGACTTTAGATGGAACAAGGTGAACAACATAGTTCTAATAGATAGTAAGAGTGTCGCTAGCTATTAAGTTCGCTCGTTGTCTGTACAAGCATAGACTATGTTCAATTATGGTATTTTATTTTTAAAACCAACTTGTCTGCCACATGTAGATGCATGGCATGCTCATTGCAGTGGGCAGAAAGTATTTGTTACCCTTTCTGAAGATGATGTTGATGCAGGTTACAGAAAGTTATCCAACTTTGATAGGTCAAACTTTCTTCAGTAAATATGAGGACTTTGATTGCTGAAAGAGTCATAAATGCTTTAAAACTAAGCCTTTGTGAGTTTTTTCTGATGCCAAATATATGGTAATGCAAGCACTTACAAGGCAATGTGAGTATACATGTGAAAGGGTTGTCTAACAGCACATTAGAAACTAGTTTTCAAATATATGATATACAGAAACTAGAGAGATCATTACTTGCACATCGGTTTATAGTCCTGTTTCATTGAGAAAACTCGTTGAACCTTACGGAGATCGAAATTTCCATGTCATTTGTGATTTTTATTGTAGAGTATATACATATATATATACATATATATATATACATATATATATACATATGTATATATATGTTGCTTTGAGAATACCGTTGAACCTTATTGAGATCAAATTTTAAAACCATTTGTAAATTGTATTGTAGAGTTTATATTTATATACCAGCATATGAGGTATTGTTATATTTGAGAAATCAAAGCATCCCATTTGCCATTTAGCTTGTCTATGCAAAATGTATTATTTGTGTTTTGTCGATACGAGATATATTATCTGTGCTTTTGATTGTTCAACAGTCAACACTTAGTGATTGTGGTGGATAATTCCCTGTGCGTGCATACTAGGATCTGCAATGCCCTTCACATTCATTGTCTGTTTTGCCTTCTGTTAGACATTACAAAGCCTGCAATATTGTATTTGGTTAGGATACCTTCTTTTTTCCAGCAAAAAATTGACTTGGCATCGATTCCCTATCCATCACATTGTTCTAACCCAACAAGTGCTTAAATCTGGAAATTTGTAGTTGCATGACTTGCGTCAAAGGATCCCTTATCAATTTTCCTCCTGAAATTGCTAACTGGCAGGAAAATATATCATATTCATTACCTGATGTCCATTTTATTATTAATTATCATCATGCATTTGTTTGCTAGAAAATTGCATATCCACTATTTTTGCTAGTTCAATTAGTTTGAACCAAGCTGGTTTTCCTTTTCTCTCACCTGCCAATCTTTCTTGGAAGTAAAGTTGAATGCAGTATGAAATACATCTAATTGAGTTTTTTCTGCAGCGGGCCAGTATTTCAAGTTGAATGGAGCCCTGATTATGAAACTGTTTTGGCCTCCTCTTCTGCTGATAAACGGCTGATGATTTGGGATCTTTGCAGGTATGCGACGCATGGTAGTGAAGTTCAGTTACATTCTTATATGGTCCTTCAATACAGATAAACTTCTACATGCTCATTTGATCTGAAACGACTAATCCTGCACATGCAAGAAATGATATAATAACTTAAATTGTACAAGATACCAAATATTTTCCTTTATAATAGTTCAAAATTTTTCTCACATAGTATTTTATTTTTATCGGTTTTGTGAAGCACAAGGAATAATAGCCTCTGGAATATATATGCACTTGAGATAATGCAAAATTGTTGAGCAACTGTAAATACGACAATATGTGCATAAATGAAAGAGTTGACCCGTTGGTGCCTGATCTAGGGAGGTTGGTAATTCAGCACTTGGGCTGTATTTAACAAAGAATGGCATGACTATATGAGTTTCATACTGGAGTTTTGTTCTGTTAAATCTTAAACAAAGTCCCTTTGCCTTCAAAGGGCGATGACAAGTCCTTCGCTTAGCACAACTAAGTGAGTTTCTTACTAGACTTTTTGTTCTGTCAAATCCTAAATAAAATTCCTTTGCGGATGGTGCAACTCCTTGAGCTTAATTAATTAAACAATTCTTATGACTGCCATAGCTTTGATGTCATAGTTGGTATATACCAAGAGCAGTAGATTGTTTTAAATAGTTAGAAACCACATTGAATATTGATTTTATTTACTCTTGTGTGTGCTCTTTCTTTCTTTCCTAGATCTTTTCTTTCAATAATCAGATTCTCAGGAGCTCTTATTCATAATGCAGATCACTTCTCTTCCTGCTAGGTTATGACCCCTTATAATAATCTATAGATCTCTAAATAAATTAAATTTGGTGACAATTTGAAAGAAACTCTTGAGCGTCGTAGTTAATTTGTTTGCATGTTCTGTTTAGATAAGGAGGGAACAACTAGTTTCAACCCATATCTAAGGTTTTGGGTGAGTTGTTCATTTCTTTTTGGTTTTTTAATAGTTTTATTAAAAAGCCTTCTGAAACGAGTTATGAAAATCAAAATTTTGTCTGAAACCGAGCGTATTAACTCAAAAAAATCAACACGACAATTTGATGATGGTAGTTTGTGAAAATTTTGTAGCACTTCCCTGTTTTATTCAGTGCAAAGGTCTGGTACTATGTAATGGAATTTCTCGTGCAAACTGATGCCATGTTCTTTATTTTTTGTAAGATTTATGTTCCAATATCAGAATAAATTGCAAGTTCTAATTTTGTTTTGAAATCAATATGCAGGATTGGCGATGAGCAATCAGAAGAAGATGCTGAGGATGGACCCCCGGAGCTTCTTTTTGTTCATGGAGGTCACACCTCCAAGATCTCCGAATTCTCATGGAACCCTAACGAGCCCTGGGTAATAGCTAGTGTTGCGGAGGATAATATTCTCCAAGTATGGCAGGTGGCTGAAAGCATTTACCGGGATGACTACAGCTTAGAAACCGATGGCGATATTTATGCGGCCACCTAGATCTTTATGGGAACCACTCTACTGAGCTTGCAGACCATTTGCGGAGTGTAGTTTTACAGAACTATGGATTTAGTGTGGAGGACAGGACGTAGGTTTATGGACTTGTTTGTAAGCTAATAGTGATGATATGAACTTATTGTGAGCGCAGTTTCAAGTCGGGGATCAAGAATTGATATGATATGTTGCTGGGGTTTCAAGTTTTGGTGCCCCATCTTTTTTCCTTAAAAACAGTCAAAAAAATCGCATGTGCGTGGAAGAGAAAAGCAGGCAGAGGAGTTATTGTCATGTTAAAACGTCCCTTACGCCGAAAATCCCCCCCAAGTTTTCTTGGTGGCAAATAGTTTCATTTTCACCTCCCATAGGTCAAAAGATTCCAGCAGAGGATTTGATCCGTTAAGGTGATCTATGACGATGTTTATCATTATATAACTAGTGCGTTTAGTTTTCCGAGCATCTGTCATGTGTGTAAGGAGTAGTGAAGCATTTGTCATATGTAGGAAGTGAAAAACACCAAAAAAAACACCAAAAAAAACACCAAAAGTAGCAAGAGTAGATTATAGGAGGCATGGTTCTATTGGTTAAGGATACATATACTGATGTTTCAAGGTGCTCAACTTGCAGCTCTCTAAACAATTACATTTATATGGTGGTTTGAGAAAAGAGTTAAAATATAAGTTAATTGAAGACATCGTATTAAATAATTACAGTCTGTCCTAGCCTCCAAAAAGAATGTGCGGTCAATGTATATGTTGTGTTGATCAAAAAAAAAATGTATATGTTGTGAAACATGTGAGTAGGGTCCACCTTCACGTGAAGATAGAGAACTTTTGTAATCGGTTAAAGAGAAACCGTGTGAAGAGGTGAGGTAAGATCCAGCGGATCTTTTGTGAGGTGAGGTAAGATTCAGGGGATCTTTTGTGAGGCCATTGTAATAGCCTTTTCCGCGTGGGTTTTTTTTTCTATAAATACCGATGCAATTTCTCCCCTAGGGTTTTGTGCGGAGGCAGAGGGGAGAAAATCAAGTGCAGGCGGCTGATTGGGGCGTGAGTACTTGGTGGCTGCGGGAGCAAAAACAGGGGCGGCTACTGTGTGCAAAAGAAAAAAACTGAGTTTTCTTTTGAGTTTTGTGTAGTTGTTCTAGGGTTTTGTGCTCCTCTTTTGAAAGTGATATTTGTGTGAGAGAGAGTGATTGTTTGGGGGTTTAGATTGAGTGATTGTAAACCCTAATTGTATCTCTCCCTCTAATAGTAGATCTCCCCCTCCTTGTCCCGTGGACGTAGGCAGTTTGCCGAACCACGTAAAATTGGTTGTTTGAGTTTGTGGCCATTGTAATAGTTTTTAGGATCCCTCGACGCGCAGTCCTAGAGCTGACGAGAAGAAGATCAAATATCCCACTTTGATGGGATATTAGGCTTTCAGATTCTTGTTCCCTTTGAGAAACAAGAATTCTTATCGATCTTTCTCTCTTATTGTGCATCTGAAACTCTGCCGAAATTTACGCTGCGCACAACAAGTGGTATCAGAGATCGGGCTACGCTTGGGCTATTTGGAGGATGGATTATGGAGATGCGAGGTTTTGGATGCGCTGAACGCGCAGAATTTGGAGGATACCTTGGAGTTAGATGGCAAGCCAGATGAGATTGAAGAGAAGGTTTGGAAAAAGATGAATCGAACGGCGTGTGGTGTGATTAGGTCTTGTTTGACTCAAGATCTAAAATATGATGTGATGAATGAGACTTCTGCGAAGAAGATTTGGGAGATTCTCGAAAGCAAGTATTTGACCAAGAGTGTGGAAAATCGCTTGCATTTGAAGAGGAGACTTTATCGTTTCCAGTTGAAGAAGGGAACCTCCATTAGAGATCACATGAACCACTACACAAAGCTTCTTGCGGATTTGGCGAATGTGGATGTCAAGATTGAAGATGAGGACAAGGCGTTGCTGTTATTGAGTTCCTTGCCCGACGAGGAATATGAGACCTTCGTCCTTACTCTGATTAATGGGAAGGCATCACTTTCGTATAGTGAGGTCACTGCTGCATTGGTGAATTATCAGCTTCGGAAGAAGGATAAGGAGAATTCGACTGAGTCGGTAGCAGAGGCGTTGGTCACAAGAGGGAAGGGTCCAAACCGAAAGAATTGGAAGTCACAGTCTAGAATTGGAAAAGATCAGTGTGTTTGGTGCAAGGAGACTGGTCATTGGAAGAAAGACTGCCCAAAGCTCGACGAATGGATAAAGAATAAGCAGAAGGGAAAAGGGAAGCAACCATCATCAGAAGCAAACATCGTATCGGATGGTAATAATTCTGACTCTTCTATTTATTCGCTTTCTATCAGTCCTACAGATAGCTATTCGGAGGAATCTGAATGGATGTTGGATAGTGGTGCGACCTATCATGTGTGCCCTAGAAGGGAATGGTTCTCCAGTTTGAGAAGCTGGTGGATAGTGGTGTGGTGTACATGGCTGATAACCGTGCATGCCATATCCTTGGGATAGGAAGAATTCGCATAAAGATGTTTGACGGGACTGTTAGAGAGTTAAACGATGTGAGATATGTTCATTCTTTGAGGAAGAACTTGATCTCGATTGGAGCTTTGGTTGGAGAGGGTCTGAAGGTTCGTGTTGAGGACATGGTTCTCGAGATTGCGAGAGACTCTCGTATTTTGATGAAGGGCGTCAGGAGAAATAACCTGTATTACTTGACTGGAGGTATAGTGGCAGGTGGAGAGCTGACGACTTCTGTTGATTCGACTAGACTGCGGCATTTGGGGCTTGGCCATTCCAGTATTGATTCCTCGCATAGATTGAAAGAGGGTGCAAAGACCTGCAGTTTGAAGTCCAGTGAACATGTTGATGTGAGCAAGAAGACCGAGGTGAAGTGTGGCACCTCTATTCACCGTGCTAAGGGTCGTTCTGGAGGAGTTCACGTGGATGTTTGGGGGCCTTCCAAGGGGGCATCATTGGGAGGTAATAGGCGTTTGGTTTCCTTTGTTGGTGACTGTTCTAGGCGTGTTTGGGTTGCAACCAAATCCCCTTTGGAGAAAGTCCTAGTAGTATCCAACAGATTGAAGAAGTGTGTGATAGACAGAAAGGTGAAGGTACTCCATTCTGGTGGGAGGTACAAGATGGACCTATTTCTGTATTGGAGCCGAGCTCACGGCATTGCGAGACACTTCGTTAGAAAGGAAATCGTGGGGCAACTAGATAGAGTGACAAATTCGGAGAACCGTGCCTTGCTGGAGGATGATCGGTGTTTGTTGTCAAGTAATGGTCTGCAGAAGAGTTTCTGGACAGAGGCTTCGACAAATTTGGGTCATCCTATTAAAGAGTTGTCAACTGCTGTGATTGGAGGTAAAACTCTATTGGAAGATTGGTCTGGTAGTGTCACTTTGGTTGAGGCTTCGATGAGGAAGCCAATTGACTCTCAGCAGGTGGAGAGTTTTGGACAGACCTTAGATGTATCGCAGCGGGTGGAGATTGATGCTACTCCACATTGGGTGGGGATTTTCCCACATACTCCAGGTCATTCTACATTAGTTGGGATTCCAGCTGAGGTGACACAGCGTGGAAGTCATTTGGACTCGGATGCAGATGATGAATTGGGTTTTGATTCGAGTGCAGTTGATAGATGCAGTTTGGATATGACCATTGGTTCACCTCAGGTGGAGGTGTTTGAGGCCATTGGAGGTGCTATCAGCCGCAGAGTTGATGATATTGGAGAAGGATTACGAACTCTTCTATTGTTTTGAGGTCGTTCGCGGCCATTTGGGTGAACTACGTAAGGCTTGATTCATTGGGCAAGAGGATACGTAGGCAGTCTTTATGATGCAGCCGAGTTGGATTATTTGATGGGGGTGAGATCGATTTGGTGAGTTGATACTGACATTTGGAGAGTGTTTGCATTCTCATTTAGGTTCTCGACTTATTATGGATTGAGTCTGTTATCGTGAATTGTTTCACGGTGTACTGGACACAACAAGTGAGACATTTGGTTTGGTCGGTGTCGGCTCAGTTTTGGAAAAACTTTGCCGAGGTGGAGAATTGTGAAACATGTGAGTGGGGTCCACCTTCACGTGAAGATAGAGAACTTTTGTAATCGGTTAAAGAGAAACCGTGTGAAGAGGTGAGGTAAGATCCAGCGGATCTTTTGTGAGGTGAGGTAAGATTCAGGGGATCTTTTGTGAGGCCATTGTAATAGCCTTTTCCGCGTGGGTTTTTTTTTCTATAAATACCGATGCAATTTCTCCCCTAGGGTTTTGTGCGGAGGCAGAGGGGAGAAAATCAAGTGTAGGCGGCTGATTGGGGCGTGAGTACTTGGTGGCTGCGGGAGCAAAAACAGGGGCGGCTACTGTGTGCAAAAGAAAAAAACTGAGTTTTCTTTTGAGTTTTGTGTAGTTGTTCTAGGGTTTTGTGCTCCTCTTTTGAAAGTGATATTTGTGTGAGAGAGAGTGATCGTTTGGGGGTTTAGATTGAGTGATTGTAAACCCTAATTGTATCTCTCCCTCTAATAGTAGATCTCCCCCTCCTTGCCCCGTGGACGTAGGCAGTTTGCCAAACCACGTAAAATTGGTTGTTTGAGTTTGTGGCAATTGTAATAGTTTTTAGGATCCCTCGACGCGCAGTCCTAGAGCTGACGAGAGGAAGAGCAAATATCCCACTTTGATAGGATATTAGGCTTTCAGATTCTTATTCCCTTTGAGAAACAAGAATTCTTATCGATCTTTCTCTCTTATTGTGCACCAGAAACTCTGCCAAAATTTTCGCTGCGCACAACATATGTTAGTTAAGAGTTTTCATATGAAAATTACCCTTAACTTTTATCCAAATTAATATCTACAGTGGTCGGATTCAGAATTTTTAAAAAGTGGTGTCACTATATCATTAGTAATTTAGAAATTTACAACTGTTTCCAACGAGCTCTCAGATTTTAAAAAAAGTATATAATTTCATCAACTTTTATCCAAATTAATATCTTCAGTGGCGGATCCATAATATTTTTAGAAAGTGGTGTCAATATATCATTAGTAATTTAGACATTTACAACTGTTTCCAACTAGTTCTTAGATTTTGAGAAAAGTACATAATTACATCGTTAGTAACCCCATCAGATGCATCTTTATCAAATTATGATTATAAGGTTTATAAGGGTCTTTTTGAAGATATGATCTTCTTAATGCATCCTAATCATTTGGATAACTTTTAATTTTTGGTCGCTCTCCAGGATC